GGAGGCATCATTACCCGCAAGCCATGTCACTCGTTCATCACCTCAAGTCGTCGATCTGAAGCAAGTTGCAAGAGGCTAGGGCTCTAGATGGGCGGTGTTTCGGCAGCTTCACTATCCAACACTGTTGAAGTCCTTAGCTGCTTCTACACCTGAAAATCCCGAGGATGTTTCCTCGGGGAAAACACTCCAACGCTCAAGTCAGCAATACTCAATATTCTAGAGAGAGATGCTCTCAAGGAGTAATTGCAGATAGAGAAGCGTAGGGATTAATTACCCTCTTCGGAGGTGGTTGGGGGGTATTTATAGCCCCAAGTGCTGACATGTACCTGCACATGTAAGTCTCTCATTGGCCCACGTGGTGCTGCCCACGTGGGTATGTCTCCTCCTCTTGGGCCTGTGGGTGCGTAATTGGGCCTGCTGCATGTGGCCCTAAGAGGGCGTTGGGCCTAATCCCAACATTACTCCCCCCTCGGTGTTCGGTTGACGGACTGGGTTGGGAGTTTTGTTAGCACGGTGTTTGACCCTGAGGGTGAGGAGTGATGTTTTATGTTCATGTCCGCCCTCACGCACGACCGATCTAGACGGCCTGAAGCCATCGCAGCCAATTCTGTTGTGCATATGTATGCCGGCATCCTATCGAGCATGCGTGGGGGAGCTGGTGTGAAAACCAAGAGAGCTCGGTGCATGTGTTTTGTGCTATAGCTGAGGTAAAAATGCATGACACAGGGTCATGTGTTATAGTCGTAGCTGAAGTGAAATAGGTGATTCGGGGTCACTATGGCCGGAGTTGAGGTAAATAATGATGACCGGAGTCATAGCGGCCGCAGCTGAGGCATTATGCTCCAGAGCCAGTAATCTGAGGTGACGACCTGAAACCAGGAAGCTCAGGAGTGACGACCTTGAAGCAGGGAGCTCAGGAGTGACGACCTGAAACCAGGAAACTCAGGAGTGACGACCTGAAACCAAGAAGCTCAGGAGTGACGACCTGAAACCAAGAAGCTCAGGAGTGACGACCTGAAACCAGGAAACTTAGGAGTGACAACCTGAAACCAGGAAACTCAGGAGTGACGACCTGGGAGCAGGGAGCTCATGAGTGACGACCTGGGTCACCCATTGATTTATGCGAAAGTTTGTGGCCTGTGTAAGCTGCAATCCGTGTGTCGATCTGACAAATGCGCTTGTCGTCACGATGTGTGACGGGCTGAATCATTGGAGGATTTTAGTGAAAAATCTACACTGCTGGACAAACTATCACGGATGAGCCGATCTGGCAAAATGTCATGTTTGTAACGACCTAGCAAGTGTGCCTGTAATGGCGAGCTGACTTGACAGCACAAGGTACACATTAGCAATGACGATCTGAATCTTGGATTTTTTGAATCAATCAGATCTCTGAGGAGATATGGTTGATCTCCCCGTATCCCTTTGTCTTCCCCGTCATAAATGCTGGCTCAGCATTTGAGGGACGTGACAGCTAAAGCCGGCGCACGTTATGCAGAAGGGACGTTAAGCGTGTGCCACGTGTATGACGGGAATTGGCGCGTCAGAAACACGCGTACGGCAATTAACACTACCATATCCTTCTCTGCGTAACCGTTTCCTCTTTCATTTTCATTTCTGTGTTTGCCTAAACTTTCCAAAATTCTCTGAAGCGGAACCGCTCCAGCTTGAAGAACCCATACATCGAATCAACTTCACGTTCAGTTTCAGGTAAAAATGGTTTCGTTAAGAGAACTCACAGAGCAACGAGGTAACCAGGGCAGAGAGGGGGGAGAAGCAGGGGTATTGTCAGTGGAGCCTATCACTATGATAGTGCCGCCTGAGTTGCAGGACTCACCGGAAAGAATGGCGCCTGAGGGAAGCACCAGTTCGAGCGCTAGGGATGATGGTGGCGACCAGCCTACTGCGTCATCTAGCAGCTCGTCCACTGAAGAGACACCCATCCAGGAAGAAGTGGGGGATCTGGTAAGCAGTGTCTCAGATCGGCCGGTGGTTGGGGGATGGGAAAGCGTGACGATCCCGGGCAGGTTGAGTAACCTACGGAAAGCACCGAAGGATCTGCCCGCTGGATTCAGGTTCGTGGCTGCACTTCATCACGAAGTAGCAGATTGTACGCCCTCCATAAGCGGGTATAAAAGACTCGAGGAGATGGTGAGGGCGTACCACATCCCCAGGACCATATTGCTGCGAACCGGCGGGCAGAACGAAAGGGCGTGCACAGTGTCACAAACGGGCTGGATCCCAGTGTACGTGGACCACTTCGACGCCGGCCTGCGGTTTCCCCTGCCCGGACTGGTGTTCGATCTGCTGGCGGAGTACGAGCTGGCGCTGACGCAGCTGACGCCCAACAGCATAAGGTTCATTATTGGCTTTATGCTGTTGTGTGAGCGATTGAGGTGTCGGCCAAGGCGATCGTGTTCAGGTCGCTGTTTCAATGCCGGTTGTGCCCCAACTCCCAAGGCGCGAGGTGGTACTACCTCTCCGGGAGAGACAAAAGCCAGCTGTTCAAGAATGTCCGGAATAAAGTGGCGAGGTAGAAGAGGCAGTTCATATTTGTTCGCGACACGCGAACAGAAAGGATAAGCAACGACCTCGCTGCCCGGCTGTCAGAATGGTGCACGCCCAGCGCTCATATTAACTACCCCCAGCTGCTGCCCCGGGATGTCGATCTTAAGAACCAACTGCTTGAGTACGCGCAGGGGGAGGGTCTTATAGATCTAGAAGCCCTGGTTACCTCGGAGCAGCTCGCCGTGTTCGGGTTTGTCGACGTGGCAAACCTGTTCAGCGAAGGTATATTTTCATTATATAACCTGGATTCTAGCCGAGCTGAGGCTTATGCATTTTTTTGTGCAGGAGAAATGAGCAGCATCCTAGAGCGCCAACGACAACGCGCCCAAGCCTCACGAGGTCGCGGGGCTAGCAGCGGGCAACCCAGGCAGACGCGATTTGACGAGCGGCCACCCCCAGCACCTCAGTCACGTGGCTCGTCACACAGGGGATCCAGCTCGTCGTCAAGGCCGCGAGCGGATCACAGATCTGAGGTTGTAGCTCCGGTCGCGCGCAGACGTGCACGCGAGGGGACGGAGAGCGATGAGGATGAGGTTCCCCTTGCTAGGCGCATAAGAAGCGGGGAGACTCAGCCCGCACAGGCGGCTCGCCCTGTAACCGTGCGTTCTCCAAACGCACCATC